TTCTCCCAGCGCTGATGTGCCACCATGCCGCTAATGCATATTTTCCTTCCTAGACGATTCAAGAAATCACTGATCTTTTTACACACAAAAATAGAAGCAATGTCATCGCGAGACAGAAAACCTGAAGGAAACTGAGATCCTGGAGGCACCTGTTAAGACACGTACATGTCACAGAAAACGAGCATACTGCGTCAAGCGCCCCGGTAACTGACAGGCTGAGAGGGTTTCTGCGGATCGCTTATCAAGTGTTTGCGATGCTAGCGCACCCGTCAAGACGGTGCTTGATCGTACATGCGCGGGGTAGCCTTGCTGCAAGACTCGCAGGAATGCGTGCTCCAATTCTTGAAAGGCCGCATCCTCTATCCGCTAGCTTTGTATTGATGTGCGCAGGACTCCTAGAGTCTTCAAAAGAGGCCAAGAAATTATTCTTTTGAGTATACTCACTCTTTGTCAGCTCACGACGGTTCTCTACTAAAGTTAAGGACTGTCATCACATATATGACGTGGGCCGTCACTTTGATACCATAAGCTGTGATCACTGTATCAGTCGACCGCTGATAAGAGGATTAAGAAGGTTGGAAAGAAACGCGGGTGGCCCCAATCAAGTACCGTCCTTGCGGACTGGCGTGCTACCCGTTAGCCGTCACTAGTAAAGCTACAACCGACAAAACCAACATATAGACTCGTACGAGCCTTAAAATCTTTTACAGTGTGTTCGTAAGCTAAGAAAAGCTCGCGACCCCGTAGCAGACACTACTGGCGAACTCCCCCTGCGGATTTTGACGGAATTCAAATATGCGCTACCAAAGTATGGCATTCCCTAGCACTGCAGTATTGCTTTAGAAGACTACGGGCAGCAAACAAATGTGAAAGCGTACTCACACGCCACCACGACGTGCCTGAATAAAACCCGCCCGAAACCCGCACCACTCTCATCCACGCTGAGTGCAGTACTGAGACACTCTCTCCTAACTCAAAGGGGTTGCAAGTTTTGCAATGGCCTCAGGCGCAGCTCCAAGTATTCGTAGCAAGGGGTGGGGTGGAAATTTTTGCGTACTAATGCAGCATTGACGAGACCCTCTACGGTATTGCCTACTGCTCCCCGCAAGTCCGTCATCTAGGGTCTCAGAGGATATAAAGTTCCAAAACTTGAAAATCAAGCAATGCACTTACACTTGGTAGCAAGGCAAACAATGCGTCAGCCGGGAGTCGAACCCGGGTCGCCTGCTTGGAAGGCAGGTATCCTAACCGTTGGACTACTAACGCTTCCCTAGCCGTCGTGAAAGCATCAGAAGGATTTCGAAATGGCAGTATCAACCAACAGCTTTTTCCTGTCTAGAACGGATGCTGACGTAATTTGTTGAAGGCGCTATGTGATAAGGCTACAAGCGTGTTAAGTCTGCGTAAATGGAGGCTTCGTGCTTGCAATTTCCAGGAGCCCCACGCAACAGAGAACCTAGGCACTAAACGCTTCTGACCTACGTCGAAGTAACAGTTGGCGTATTACGAAAATTTAAAGTTGGTGAGCCACTTTGACATAGGCGTCGACTGAGGGCGCCGTAGTCGTTGTCATGCCACCGCGAATCCCAAAGGGAGAACTCGTCCTTTTGTCTGCCTGAAGCTGGTAGTACTTGCAGGGTTGGTACTGAGGGCAACCTTTCATTGTGTGTTAGGGCATGGATCAAAAGCGGCATTTGGTATGCTTGCATTCATTAGTGCCTTGCAACAAGAGATGCAGCAAGCAGTTTGCACCACATGACGGGCCACCTCGCCTCCGTACCAGTAGCAGGCCCTCGGGACACCGCATTCAGAATGTCATGGGGACTAAGAGGAGACCATTGGGAACTATTATTTGAAGTGCCGTGACAGTATTGCAGCTCAGCGCGGCCCTCATGTAGCATCAAGGACTCCTGTTACAGCTACGGTGGACAACTGGCGGCAAACGAATGCACGGCGAGCGACAGCCGTTATACGCTACACATATGGCAGTCACACAGTCATCTATTGTGGCCAGTAGCTCGAATGAGAGGTGAAGAAGCATTAACTGCAGCTGCTGGCACCGTCGAGGTGCGGTCTCTTTCCCTTGGGCGGGGCTTAAGCGGTATCTGGGTTTCAGTGTGGTGCAGGCCCGTACGCAATGCTTCTAGTTTCTGATTATAATGCTGCAACGTGGATTTCGTTGCAAATAAGAAGGGCTAGACGCTAGGCGCCTCGTTGTATGCACACTCGGCAGTCTCCCGCAGCCCCCACGAAACCGGCGCAGCAATACACAGCAAGTTGAACGAATGTGTACAGACAACGCAAATTTGGGTATATTAATGAATATGATGCTGAAAAGAATGCGCTAAAGGTCATTTGGAAGCTTGAAACGCAGATCTATCGAGATCTACACGGGGGGCAGGACAGGAGGCCCCCCAGTGCACAACCCCCCCAAAGGATTCGGGCCAGATACGCCCCGCGGTAACGCGTCCTCTTTAGGGTCTGCATGCTATTTTCTATTGCCTTTAAACATCTCTTCTAGCGATAAACAGTAACAGAAAGATCCGGGAAAGGTCTCTAGATCTCCTTTTAGTCCTTTTGCAGGCGTCAGGGGCGCGCGGGGGTGCAACCGCCTGGCACCCCTTCTATGCCACGATTTTCACCATTTTCCTGTTTTTAGGGTTTTTCGCAAAATAAAATTGTCTGTTTTTTCGGGTTTTAACGTTGAGGTGCTTCAATTGACGCTTTTTCAGCTGACAGAGACCCTCCACAGCCCCCCATGGCGGCAGGCGGAACGGACGACCAGACCCTTTCAGGAATGCCAGTTCACTAAAAAATCTCTTGATTCAAGAGATATATTTCTAATAATAAGCCCTTTCTGTNTCAGGAATGCCAGTTCACTAAAAAATCTCTTGATTCAAGAGATATATTTCTAATAATAAGCCCTTTCTGTGTTTTTTCACTGGTATAGACGCATGTGCTGTCTCGTCACTATCGGTCAGGCATCGCTGCTGGTGCCTGAGCCGACGACGCCGAGGCGGTCGGGCTGACATGAGGCAGTTTGCGGTGAAACACGATTTCCCGCTGGAAATATAAGGTATATTTAATTAAATATTGGAATTAAAGACCTTCTTGGGCCTTCGAGGAGGCCTTAAAAGCCGTAGATAGCGGGTGTGTGTAACGGATAGGCGCCCGCCAGGTGTACGTACACCTCGTGTTGCTGGTGTTCAACTGGACCGGTCGGACGCCTTCACTGACACGTCCTGCAAGAGGGAATAAGACTGCTGGGGTAGCTGAGCTTCGGCTTTTCTAGCTTTCATCGGCTCGTGGGTCTGTATTCCATCTCTGCTTCCGCTTTTCGATGTACAGGCGTCCTAATTTAAACTCTTTTCCTTTCTCGCGATTTCAGCAGAGTGCCCGCCGCTCCCACGTTGTGGCCATGGTGTTGTAGTGGTCTTGCAAGATTTAAACATAGCAGCTCGTAGCGTTGTTAATTATTTACAGTTTTTTGTAATGAGCTATCAAAAGTCGCAAGGCGCCGTCAGCGCGGCGCCTGCTGCTGGACTTGAACAAGGATACACCCAATGTGCATCGCATCCGCCGTACCAGAAGCTGCAGCCGCAGCATCAGTACTCTCGCTACCAGCAGCAGCAGCGGTACGACCCTCACCACCAACATGTATACTACCAGCAGCAGTGTCACGGGGCGGGCCCCAACAATGGCACAGCTAAACAAGCAGCAGCAGTTGCGGACTCCCCAGCTCCTTGTGGCTCGGCGCAGCAGCAGCCGCGGACTGTACAGCCTCCCGCGTCGCAGCACCAGCACCGACACCAGGAGCACGAGCAGCAGCGGAAAAACCCTCACGCGGTCAAACCCACGCGCATGCCGCATCCCCTGACAGACTGGCAGCTGCCAGAACGATATGAACTCCACCATCTCATTGGAACTGGATCTTACGGTGTGCTTCTCCGCTTTATTTCAACCCTTGGGTGACCCTCAGACCTATCTTAGCCGCTGCTCATGGGTTTCTTCTGACGCATTCGCGTTTATCTTTCATCTCTNGACCCTCAGACCTATCTTAGCCGCTGCTCATGGGTTTCTTCTGACGCATTCGCGTTTATCTTTCATCTCTATCAAGGGGGGATAGAACGGGGGGAAAGGGGAGAGGATATGGTAGCTGCAGTGTATGCGCTGCGGTGGCGGTGAATGCAGGCCACGTATGTGAGGTGTACGACAACCAGGAGCAGCGAATTGTGGCGATTAAGAAGATTCATCGTGTCTTTGAGGATTTGATTGACTGCAAACGTATTCTAAGAGAAATTGCTATTTTAAACAGACTTAACCACGATCACATCGTTAAAATATTGGACATTCTCGTGCCCAATGACCTGGAGAAGTTCGACGTGCGTCAGAAAATAAAATAATAAAATTTAGCTGTCTCTATCTAGCATCGTTACTCTACTCTCACCCATACACGAACGGAGCTGACGTTGGTGCTATATACTGCTGCTGCATGCTCCTGCTGCTTCTGCTGCATGCCGTTACTGCTGCTGCATGCTGCTGCTTATGCCGGTGTTGCATGTGGCTGCTGGTGCTGTATGCTTCTTGCTGTTGCTGCTACTGGGATAGGTTGCTGCTGGTGCATGCGGCTGCTGCTGTCGGTGGTGGTACATAAGCTGCTGC